CACAATGTGAATTTAACTAATTAGATAAAATTTATAGTTACAGCAAAATCAAATAAAGGATAATTATTTACCTGGAGAGTCAGCCCTCATGTCACCACCAAGTATGGCAGGTTGTTGATTTAGCTCCTCCATCATGCCATCCTGTGCTGACTTCCACGCATGTACAATAGCTGGCTCAATATACAGTCTTGCATGCCGTCGGAATGTGAAGTGGTGGAACATTTGAAGTTTCATTGCCTGGAAAATCTAAGGAAACACAAAACATTATGTCTAAATATATACCATATTTTGGAAGTTTATATTGTGATGGAAGTTAGTTATTCATTACTTTTTCCAATTTGAAGAATGATCCACCGTTTGAATAAACAGCAACAGAAAGTTGAAGATTCCCCACTGGAGTACCTCCATGTAATGGCTGACTATTCCATTTTCTAAGATAATCACAGTGGAGACATCGCTGCTCGACAGTCAGAAAAGTGCCAATTCTTCTGGTCTGCACCCTTGTTGCTCGTTGACACACAGGGCATTTCTCAAACAGTTCCAAAAGGCATTTCTCATATACTATATAGGTATTCATACTGTATGCTGGAACTGATGTGTCCTTTCTAGAGTGGATATAAAACAAATAATTAATGAATAATTTGTGAATGTATCTGAAAGAATATAAATAAATGCTGGTGCTGTATAGCTTACGTGTGTTCAGTGATGTCCGTCAAAGCACTTATTGATGCCAGAGGGTCATATGTTTTATCTTGTTGGCTTGGGATGTTCATTGAACTACTGCCTTCTAAAGTGTCGTCAGCGTCTGTGGTCTCATCCAAACAAGGTCTCTTTATAGGTGTGATATGTTCTTCTGGTATAGCAGACAAATGTTGGCGCTTCACTGGTGTGGAGGTCACAAAATGTGTGGTGTGAAGAGAGCCTGTTGTTGAAGTACCAGCTACAACTTCAGAGAAATCCATGCTTGTCTGTGTGCCTTACAGTGAAAAATAAATTAACAATACTGCCAACTTTGTTTGCTTAACTACATTTCTTACAGAAATTTGCTAGCATGGCAGTGTAAACATTTAACTTACCTATACTTCTGAAATGTGGCCCTAGAGTTTTCAGTGAGAGTTGGGTTCCAACTGCACGCATCTGTGGTTTCGTCTGACAGCCTGAACTGGTAAAAGATGGCTTCTGTGTCCTTGGTGTTGGGAGCTGGAAATGAAATAGTGCATTTTTAATTGCATTGTAACATGTGCAATAACAGTACAGTACAGATGATTGTTTAATAACACAATCAATTTTTATAAATTATAATAATTTGGTATTTCTGCTATGCATCTTACATCAAATGAAGTCACTTGTACACTGCCACTTTTTCCACTCATAACATTCAGCTACATCTGAAACTGTTTGACTTCATTGCAGAGCAAAGCTCACCTGTGATGTCTTCTCATTAAATGACCTAGTTCTCGGATTTGACATTACTGATCACACAACGTGATGTAGATACACGTAGGACACGAAAAATAAGCTTAAAGTAGCATCTTTGACACAACTTGTCAGACATTTTTGTCCAAAAACACAAAATAGAGGAGGTTTAGTGTTTTTACATAGGCCCTACAGTGTGCATTTCAGAAGGAATATGAAAAAATGGTTTAAACTTCGTTTTAGGATCGGTTTGATTGTAAATACACACGGAAAATACGCTTTCTTGACAATCCTTGTCATTGTTTTGGGATGAAAACGTGAATATAAAAATAATACACGCGCATTTACACCAAAATACCGGTGAATCTGGGTCAACGCATGCGTTCCGTTAGTGGTTCTGGAGCTTTTGGGTCGCAGCCTGATAGCAGCGCTGCTAAACAATGCGATAATCTCACGGTGGGCAAGCAAAATATAAAACGTGTTTAGCTGTCCATGAGATGTAAATGGCAGTCCCTTACCCCTGTTTAATACAGGATGCACAATGCAAAACTTTGATCGACTTCTAATTTACAGTACATAATATTGGTGCACAAGAGAAACATCAGCTCTAAATGCTAAATTAGCATTTAGCTAGCTTAACGACCACATGGTGCTAACAAAAGCAATCGGCATGCCCTAAGGCTATTAAAATGGTTGGAGTTCACAAAAGGAAAGTAGTAAATTAACTTTGCAGTCAGTTATTAATTATATCAAGCTTACCTCTTTGCTGGTGTGTCCATCATCCCCATACTCAGTGGGAACTGAGCCCTCAATGAGTCGAAGCCTTTGGGCTAGTCCTTCTCTGTACTGCAGTAGGTTGGTGAAGCACTCGTATTTAAAGTGCTTTGAGCAAACAAAAAGTACTTTACGCACAGAAGATGGGACATTACCATGAAAAATAAAATTCAACCAGGCAATTCTAACTTCTTCTGATGCAGGAGGACGGTGTAAACACTCGTGTGGATGAGTACATCCATAGACAGAGCATTTCAAGTTATCTAACCGTGGTTTTGGCATTATTCACTCTGGACTACAACTGTCCTAGCGAGGGAAAAAAAATGGCGGCTTTACTTTCTGTGTAGCCAGAGAGCCATGACCATATTTGGTAGTTATCCGGACTAAATTAATTACTGATGTCATTGATAATGTAAAAACTGAACGGGTGGACAAACATGCCCAAAACTTAATTATTAAATATCTAAATAGCAACTCCAGTGAATAATATAAGCCTTTTTGCTCACTTAGACACTTAAAATGTGAAACACACTGTGTTAATGGATAAAAAAGTGGGTTTTTCATGTTATGTCTCCTTTAAAGTAAAGCTAGGTTCGCAGAGCTCAACGATAAGTGACTGCTCAGAGCGCCATCTTGGCAACCGTCGCTCAAAAACAGGCAGATTCCACCTCTATTTACAAACTCCTGGGGATGCAACAAGAGGGTGTGGTGTGTCGACTACCGGATCTGACGTCAACAAATTTTTTTAATCAAGCCGTCGACGTCATCGATGGGTCGCCACAGCTCTACTAAAAAGTACTTAGTAAAAAGTAAAAAAGACCACTTGATAAAGGTAACACCCCAACAATCTCTAACACTTGGTAGAAGCCTGACATTAAAACAGAGAGCGCTATTAATCTATAATGAATATTAATATAAAAAAGACATTCATGGAAATTTTCATTAACTGTTTTATTACCACACCAACTAGGAAATATTTTTACAATACATTTAAAAAAGAAAGGAGACAGAGAAAGGTGAGATAAAATAACTTAATTGACCATTTGAGGTATTTTTAGAGATCGTACTGGTGCAGTATCTAGAAAATATGGGGGAAATGCTGACATCATATACAGTATTTACTTCTGTAACTATTTGTTAATATGTTAATACGAGTTGCAGTATTTATAGCTATCCTGTTAGGGTGTGTAATTGTTGGACGGAATCTTTAACAAAACACATAATTAATAATTTTTTTTGTGATTGTGTGCATTTAGAATATCTATATGAAAGTCTCCACAAACACAAACTTATGATTATTTGTACTTAAATCTACTGTACATTTCTGAAAAATTTGTTCTGAAAAATAATTCATTATTAATAATTAATTATGAAATATTTTGTTTACAAATGAAATTCTTACCTTCTTAACCTAATATTTAACATCCAAACTAAATATTTAACTTTTTAACTAAATACTTTGATTACAAACTAAATATTTACCTTCTTAAATATATATTTAGCATCCAAACGAAATATTTAACTATTTAACTAAATATTTTGTTTACAAACCAAAAATGTATCTTCTTACCAAAATATTTCACTTTTTAACTAAATATTTCACTTGCAAACTAAGTATACATGTTTTTATAAATGTTAAATGTTTTACCAAATAGTTTGAAGTTGAAACATTTCTTAATCAATAAAGAATTACTTTGAAATATTAATTCCCTTTTAATTTCTCATATGACAGGCTAAATAACCAACATTATTGTAAATTTTAACTGTGTAACTTTACAAACAGCATCTCATGGAGGACAATATAAATAGAACTTTGAAGTTCTATGTATGTCCAATTTATAGTCAAATCAAATAAGTGTTTATTTGAATAGTCGTAAATCACATCATTGGGAGAAGATTTTCACAATTATTTCATTTTAAGTAGTACTGCTAAAATGCAGAGACATATTTATTACTATTTTACTAGTCTATTAATAGTTTTTTCAGTACTTTCTGCATAACCGGCCCTTTAAGAGCATTCATGATCTTTATGTGGCCAAAAATGAAAATGAATTTGACATCCCTGATTTAAGCTCTACACATTTAAAATGAAAATAAGAAATAAAAGTATTTCTGTCTCCCCCATCTGCCTTATACCTGCCCCCAGGCAAAACTGTTAGAGCCTCCCCTGCACAGTCACCAGCCTTCTATCAGCTACATATAAAAGAATCCTGGTGACATTTGTTCATAACTTTTCTTCAAGTCATTCATGTAATCTAAAATGTGAACAGTTTCTCCAGTAACTGTTCAGCTGCTCGGATGATTGAGTCTGGACATCTCCTATTTCTTCTCGATGTTTCTTTCTCATCAGATCCAAACTGACATCATGACCAGCAGCTTTTACAGCAAACATCGGCTAATAAACGGATCCACTGATGATCAAATGCACCTGAGTTTAGATGTCACCCGCCGCCTTTGTTGCCAATAAAACAAAAAGAAGAAAAACATGGTGGGGAATGAGGAGACGGCCGGCCGAGCAGCATAAATAAAGACACCACAGCGTTGTCTCATTTTTTGTTTCAGTCTAGCTAAACTACAGGACAAATCACGTTCTGTTTCAACTTATACGGACGAGTCGGTTTTTTTACGGGAAGGTTGGCAACCCTAAAAATTAACTGTCAGTAACATCATAGCACCCGGCCAACAGTAGAAACTCCGTATAATAAACAGTAAGGTGAGTTATTGTAACTGACTTTAAAAAGTTAGCAAGCAGGACGATGACAATAAACTACACCAGAACTTGGTTTATATTTGACCCAGATGACTTTGTACCTGAAATTCGGTTCTGCCACTTGGACAGGCAGCCGGCTCGGGTTTCTCCTCTTCCTCCCTCTTTTCTTCTCCAACCTGTCGCTGGGCTGAGGCTCCATCACTTCCTAAATTGATTTTACTTGAACCTTCACTACCAAACAACTGTGAGATTTTAACACATTTGCCAGCATCAGCCTGAAGGGCCAGTTTCTTTTTTAGTCGAATTTTCTCCGCTCCTCCTTTCTGTTTTCTGTTCTCCATTTTGTTAAGCTCGTCTGTCTGTTTACTGAGATTCACAAACAACTGGCGGGTGCATCAGACCTCTGGCTATTGGTCCAGCCCAGAGTGTATTATGACCAGTTGGCAAATCCACCAACTTTACAAGGCGCCGCGTGGCGCGGACAAGTTGTCCGCAACAACTAGAGGCCAGAAAAAGAAAAAAAACAGACACCGGCCCATAAAAGATGAAAGGGTCAGCCCAGCGGGCAGTTGCCTGCTATGCCCTATGGTCAGTCCAGTGCTGGGCAGCAGAGACTTTGGAGTTTGTGCAACGGTAAAATGATCCCCATGAATTTATATTTTTGAAAACATGGTGCTATGGAAAAAACAGCAATGCCAAGATTTCAAAACTATCAATCTGATCATAATCAAAAGTTGGCAAATTTGTTGATGGGTTTTCAATATATTTAAAGGGATGTTCCACCCCTAAGTGAAATTTGGTCTATTTCCATATTCCCCACAGTTGAATAAGTAAGAAAAAAGCAGTTAGTAACCAACGCAGTAATTCTCCTGATCTGGAAGCAGTCCATTTTCTTTAGCTTAGCATAAACAATGGAAGTGAATAGCAACAGTTAGCATTTTGTGTGCAAATGTGATGAAAATTACTCAATAATCAGAGAATCAGAGAGAATTTTATTGCCAGCGCTCCAGCGAACCAGAGCATAGGAACTTGACTCCACAGAACAGCCTGACCAAGGTTACACACACAAATATAGACAGAACAGATACAGGCAGACCACGAGAGCAGCCATAATGGCGCTCATTTCAATAGATGAAGAGGGGATTACAGGAGGAGAGTTGGGGGAGGAAAAAAAAAGCAGACCAGAGTTACTCCCGGCAGGGAGTAGCTCTACTATGCTAAAAAAAACACCTCAACATATAAGCACGAACGTCACAGTTCACAACATGAGACCCATTGGGGGGGGGGTGGGGGGGGGTGCTGGGATCCTGGTTTCCTCAGCGGGAACAGCCCTTGTGGCGCTCAGCCAACTGTATCCACAGGTGGGTGGGAGGTCATGGGAAAGCACAGAGCACATTGAGATCCTGCATTTTGATGACCTCGCTATGCGACGGGTTTTCACAGCATCTGTTTGCATTCCTTCCATCGTGGGGGTTTATGTTTATGTATTTAGCAGACGCTTTTGTCCAAAGCGACTTACAAGTGATGGGGTTGTAGCACACAGCTCCAAGGCTGCTTTGGCATCAGATTGGATAACATGACTTTGTTTGGGTCAGGCAGAGATAATTTTCCACTCTGCCTTAAAGTCTGTATTGATCATTCAAGTCCTCCAGTGAAGCCAATTCAGGTATTAAACATCTCCACACCGTCCAGTGACCCTCTCCGAGATGACATCCATTTTGCGCACTAATACCGGCAATGCAGCAAGGACATTGTCCAGCTTACGGTTCACCTCGAGTAACGTCCCAGTCTGTGAGGCATCCGCCCGGTTGGTGCTTGCCATGGGTGCGGGTCGCACTCCAATCGCTCTCGACTTCCCAAATTTCCAGAAAACCAGATATCCTCCCACTCCAATCAGAAGAAATCCAGTAATCATCAGGCCAAATATCCACATATCTTCGACGTCCTCAATGGACAGCTGAGAGAGACAAACGATCCTCCAGACCTTCCAGGAATTGAGCCCATATCCCGCTGCGTGTGTCCCTTGAGGGCAGGTGGGAGCCCCCTCCTCCATTCTCATCGTGGAAAAGATATTATCAATCGTGTTGAATGACCAATTAATTAAATCCATTTCCAAAAAATAGGGATTCCCAGAAGAAATGCAGAGAAGCGCTCTGTAGGCAGACGGGACAAAGAGCCTTGGGGAAAAAGATAAGGGAGCAAAAAGGGAAGCGACTGTACTCTGCGAGTGCCAGAAGAGAAATGATACCAATTATTCTTGGTGACCTAAATAATCATGTCGACTGCAAATAAAAACTGGGAAATAACACAAAGGACTTGCAGGAGCCAATTTAGACTTGGGACTACATTTCGACAAAGCACCACTGTAACCACTGCTGAATGGCACATGGATATAACACAGCGGTCAAAAATTACGTGTGATTTGCACAGTATTCCTTTTCGTAGTTTATTATACAGGTGTAATAGAAGAAAAAGCCTTACTTATGTAACAAAGGGATGTGAAAACGAGCCAAAGACATACAGCTGCAGCGTATTTCACGTTATTCCCACAGATGTTTGTTTACGGAAGCCGGAGGTTTTTTGGACCGCTGTGTTATATCCATACGCCATGCAGCGGCGGTTTACAGTGGTGCTTTGTCGTAATGTAGTTCCAAGTCTAAATCGGCTCCTGCAAATCCTTTATGTTACTTTTTACTTGATATTTTCCGTCGGCACGATTATTGAGCTCACCAAGAACGATTTGTATTGACTATTTTTAATCACTTTTGCACACAAAATGCTAGTATCTGCCATTCACTGTTTATGCTAAGCCAAAGCAGACGTACTGATGCCAGATCAGGAGAATTTCTGTGCTAGTTACTAAATGC